TTAGGAAGAGAATTATTGCATTAATATATATTCTCCTGATTATTTTCCTTAACTCCATAAAATCTCTGCAACAGTATAACCCTGACTATTTCAGGCATCCTGACACTCCGACCTACTCGGACACCAGTAGTCACTTTTGGAGGGAAGACGCGAAAGTAATACGACTTTTAATTACAATCGGTATTAAACCATGGTTTACGAATATGTGGGATTGCAGAGGACTTAGGAATAGTTTCGTCAGCAATTTCATTCAGTTTGTCCGAGAACACCTGAATGGGATCAGGGACATTTATTAAAATATCAATATTTCCTCACATAATTATTTAAATAAAGGCCAATTTGCCTTTTAAAAATTGCATCTCGTTGAAGGTGGCTCGTCAGCTGGGTTGTTGGCAGTATGAATAGAAGGGGAATGGTCAACTCCACACAGGTCATCGTGGACTGGCCTTGTAAATTCATTTGACATATTGGAATCTGAATGTGAAAGAGCCAAAACAGAATAAATTCCACTAGCAGGATGTAAGTAAGTTTTTGAGCCATCATTTAATCAGTGATAAAATCTTCAATGACTTTTCCCTTTGAATTTGTGTTGGCACCTCCCCATCGAGGATTATGACCATTCAGGTGACCCATGATTATACAGGGTTTCGGGTTAATTATTTAATTATTTATGTGTAAACCCCAGTAGTACTGGTAAATATACCACAATGTATCAACGTAATTATGATGGTTTTATGAGCAATGTGAAATTCACTGGAGCTTGTTGGAAGATGGGACAATATCTTGATGGGGTGATTGTGCGTGATTGTGCGTGATTGTGCGTGATTGTGTTTGATTGTGTTTGATTGTGTGTGATTGTGCGCGTGTCTGTGGGAATGTAGGTCCGCACTAAGGCGTTGTTTGCAAAGCAAATCATGCCATATTTCTATCTTTTAATACTGATATTTACAATAACATTACTCAGTATACTTTTACTGTTAACCTCTTGTGTCTCTCACAACCCTCTCTGGGTGGCATGTGCACAACATGTATAATTTTCTTGTCTTCAGTTTTTTAATGCCATGAATGTACAAATAGCGAGACTATAATCATCTCAGCCATATTCCAGCTATATGACGGCTATCTGTAAATAATCGAGTCTGAGCCAGACATCCCAGTGATTGACATCATGAGCATCGAGCGTGCATCAGTTTACTTAATTAGTGCATGTCATGGTGCAGTACTAACGAATACGCCGCTTACGCTGTAGTAACACCTTATGTCTACAGAGACGCCGACTCGCCATTGGTAAAAAGGTATGAACAGCGAGCAGATGTGAGTATACACACATGGCGCATTGACAAAGATAAAACCAACCTGAAGTTTAAGGATTTATTAACACTCAGCTATAAACCGATTTTGCAAGCTTTCAGTAAGCGGATAGAAGTAAAACTCGCACAGCGTGAGGTATGTCTTACAGGGAAATATACCAAAGACACTAGACTAACATCTAGTCTCTGAAATGAACATATCGTACATAAAAAAAAACAGTTGTTCACTTATTTTAATAAAAATAAAATAAAAAGGAGCCCAGTGACTCTCTTCATTTTTCAGCCTGATACTGCAGTGATCTAGACTTGCCAAACATTATAGACTTGCATGGGCTGTAATTGATATATATTTGTATCAGGGTCTGTAAGACAGACTACAAAGACAGCTACACTGATAGAAAACTCGTCGTTACTAATCTGTAACTTACCCGAAGTTAATACACAGAAGTTATGCGTTGCCACGGCCAGTTGTCAGACAGTGTAGCAATAGTGAGTCAGTGAGTGAGTGAGTTGGGTTTAACGCCGCTTTTAACAGTATTCCAGTTATATCACGGCGTGTCAGCTTAATGTGGGAGGAAAGCCCGAAGTGATGCAGGTCTCAGACGTTTACCACTTCGGTGAAACCCACGAGCACGGGTATGGTGCTGACAAACCTAGAAACATAATCGGGGCGAACCGGGATTCGAACCCACAATCATAGGTTTCTTGCATGTCCAGGGACGCAACTCTGCACAGCGAATCGCGTGTAGCAGTAGTGGGACAGTCCTGATCGGATTACTCTTGTCAGCCTGTCCGAAATTTATGCGGACGTAAGTAGTTTGTGTACTAACAAAAGTTATTCTCTTCTCCTACCCACAAACCAGACACAAATAACAAACACTCACTGTACGTCCCCTGCGATACGAGCCGAAGGCTTTTAATTTGACTATTGTATTCCTCCACGAACCCCTCTGGGTTCAACCGATAACCATCTGAGCTCCCTTGCTCTGACGCCACAGTGACGTATGTATCTTGCTGTAAGATTATTGGCGAAGAGCCTTTTCCTCAACACCCCGTCTCCAACTTCTGAAATTAAAGCTGCTTGTTTTATGGCTAGACCGCAGGCGAGAATGAACTCAGCGCCCTATGACGTCACTCATATACTCCATACAAACGCCCTCTATACATGACTTACTCCCCTTTGTATCTGTTTTGCGCATGAAGAGAAATCAATATCATTCTAATTCATTCTATTCAAACGAAAGAAATTTCATTTCTCTTCCCCTACCGACAAACCAGACAAATAACAAACACACACTGTACGTCCCCTGCGGTACTAGCCGAGAAACAAAGAACGGGCAATTGCTAGCTGCATCACCGTTGTATTGTACTAAACGACAAATCAATCACCTATATTCCTAACGACTTCGACACACTGAGTCTGACTCGAACATCATCTTTTACATAGCCATCCTTGGCTTTCTCACTGCGCCAGCGTCCGTGTCGCTTAAAAAGTCTATCTGGAATGCCATTTTTGGCTGCTGCTGTAGCTCCTCCAGATCTCAAACTGTGCAGGCCATATTTCGGAATATCTGGTACAACGGGTGACATTGCAGTCAAAAAAACTTCTCTCAATCTTGTATAAGATATGGGCTTATTTTCTCTTTTGAATACACACTTGCCTTTTGACATTGAAAGTGATCTGACTATATACTCATCGGAATCTGCAGTTATTTCAGCTAATTCAAGATACGACTGCATGTCAGACAATGTAGCAGCTGTGACAACCCATGCACCATCTCGGTAAACATCGGCTTTGGATTTTTCAATAAAAATAGACATATACTGGTAATAAAAATACATATCAGATCTGGAGATATGCAGCAACTCGTAGGAACGAAAAAATCCCGAATAAGCCACGAGAATCATTGTTACCAATCTACTGTCTTTTAAACTTGATTTCCATTTAGAAGAGTTAACTATATACTTTATGTGAGGCACAGTGATTGGCTCTTTTTACACACAGATTTAGCAAGTCTCCTTTTGCCAGCTTCCAATACATTTTGTACCAGAGTATTCTCAGTTGGGCTAGTGATTCCAACAATAACATGGGCATATCTTAAGTTGTTAATTGCATTCATAACAGTGGATTTATCTCATTTCTCAAGCTCTCTGGCAGAGTGGATATGACATCACCATACACACATTGTAATATTCATAAACCTGAAACAAAAACAACATGCTATGAATCACATCATCCAGAATAATCTATATACAATGCTAACATTGGAAACTTCAAATCTTCAACACCAAAAATGTCACCTCCACAACGTCCTTTGACATATGCTTCTTTGCATATGGGTAAGCAGGCCAAATCTTTGACTTGCGAAATAAAACTTGCATTTCGACACAGCAAAACTAGCTGAATACCATCTAGGCACTACCAATGTGCCTCTGGCCTTGCACTTACCTTTGTGCATCAACACTCTCGCTACCAAATACACATGGGGGGACAATCCAGTTCATTTCACCACCCCAGTCAACAGTAAATGTGTCAACTGATTCGCAACCTGGGTTCCAATGACGAGAATCAAAACGTACAACCTTATTATTGTAGTAAGATGCAAATCTGTCAACAGAATGAGGCCCCCATTTTTCATCTATCCACTTGAACACATAATCTGCAATGCTCCAATCATCCGTGTCGTATAATCTGCTTAGATAATCTGCCCTATCATTGAGGCAGCGAGGAATCCATTCAATGTCCAACTGAATACTATAATGTAAGCACATCTGGAAAATTTCCAGAGCTATTGACTGAAGTTGAACTTTCATACTTCCTTTGTGCACAAATGAAACCACGTTTTGGTTGTCTGTGAACCATTTCACTGTGTGGAATCCTGACATTATCAACTGACATTATTGAAGGCTCTGTCCAGGGGGTTAAAGTATCGTAAAATTATTGTCCCCCTGTTTGACACGTAATCATATCATAATCGATGTAACTATCATCAACCAGTGTTTTTCAGCAAACTCATTGCTGAGTTTTTTTATTAATATTGGCTAGTTTTGTGCACAACCACCAGTGGCTAAAGTGATGACGTAAATCCTGCTGGGTATCATGCAGGAAGCAGAGGTACTGTAAGTCCCCATGATCCCCTGCGAGGTGGCCTAGCTTTGGTTTCTGGTCTATAGCCCGTGTTTTAAAACTATATACATGATATTGCTACGCTCAAATATGTTTCATGAAATTTTTTTAAATATAGTATGCTCAAATATGTTTCATATATTGTTTTTAACTATTACTTTGCATAAATGACTAAATTGTGAATATATTAACTTGGACTCGTCGCGATATGGCTGAAATAATGCCGATGCGACGTTAAATTTTAACTCACTCACTCACTAAGTTTCTAAGTTAAGTCAAAGTTATCCTTTGGTAAGACAATAGATCACGTAGGGCATATGTTGAAGATTTAGGTTTGGGGCTAATCATACCTTAACTCCATTCTAGTGGCATCTTTCCCAATTAAAAAGGTTAAAAAGTCGTTGATAGAAAATAAGACGTGTGTCATTCTTTAAGACGTCAACAGGGTCACCGTCAAATCATGTAGCCTCCCCTATGCTTGTTGAACAGTAAAAATAGTGTGCAATACACTCGTGTGTCATGTGACACAAACCCGTCACTTCTCAGGGTGAAATCGGCGGGGATCAACGTGTGTTGGTGATGTTGGAGTGGAGTCACCTTTCCTTGTAATGGACTTTGTAACTTTATAGATACGAGCATGTCACTATGCACAGGTTAAAACCAGGGAACTTCAAACCGGATATTGGATATGGAGCGTCAACACTTGTGAGGGCGAGATCAACTACATGAGCGATTTGAAGGTAAGCAATACTGTATCCCTGTTACAAATTTAAGTTATGTCCGACATTATGAACATGGATATACATTTACACAAATCTAAAAGGAGGTTATCATTTTTAGAAGATCGTGAAAAGTGCGCGGAAGGCCCATATCGAGATTTGCCAAATTGTAATATAACTGAATGGGCCAGAAGCATAATAATTGGGTCAATCTTACACTGGTCGTTTGCTATTCCGATACATGCATTGAAGTCTCCCATCAGAATTACAGTGTTGTCTTCGGAATACATTTTAACGTTCTCGTTGTAAAGTTGATAGAGGTTATCTCTAACCATTGATTACATTGTCTTGGTGATCATTACTTAAATTAAGACTGTGTTATGACAAGGCACACAAGGACAGGTTACAGCCTCTGTTGTAACGAGCCATGGCCAGTGTTGTTTTTTTAAATTGTACCGCTTAGTGTTAATAGCCTCATAGCTCTGTGGCATGATTGAATTCAGTGTATGTAATGTTTTACGTTATTTGTACGTTAGTCTTCTTTATAAATGTCACGAACACAAACTAACAATGTCTCACAAAAGTCTTAATGCACTGCACATGCCACAAATGATAAAACCTGTTGCATGTCTTTCAGAGTGGGTTAAGTCAGTGCGTGATGTTGTCATTGGTAGAATGCACAAACCAAAATAAGGAAACAGAAACAGATAACATAACTATCACTACATTTATTGTTTAATCAAAGAGCTTGGCATAAGTGACATATGTAATAATATCAAAACATTTGGGGGGGGGGGGGGGGGAGAGGGCTGGGATTTTATCGGGAAAAAAACAAATAGTCCCCGAAAATTCTTGAACAAAAATTAAAATAATGTTCAAAAAAAGAATGTGCCTGTCACCAAAATTGCACTTTTGCAAGGTATTTTTCTTTTCTTTTTAAATTAGGCTAGCATTCTATTGAAAAAAATAAATCGACCCCGAAAAATCCTGAAAAGAATAATCAAATAATGTTGGAAAAATATTTAGATTACATTATTTACATTTTTGCAAGGTGCTTTTCTTTGTAAAAAGTACAAGCTCAAAGTTTTGAATAAACAAATATCTGGGGCTGCGGAATTCATAAACGTTCTTCGAGTGCTTAAAAGGTTTAAAGTCGCAGAAAATTATAGAAATACCCAAAGTTACTCTTAAATCTAAGAGTGTTCTTGAGTCATATTCATAAAAAAAACCTTTAGCACAAATAGTACTCCTTATGGTAAGAGTACTGAGTAGGACATTTAGTGACTTAAGTTTTTCTAACCCTTCAAAATAGCCTCCATTCACTGAAATGAATATGCCACCTGGGAACTTTCAGGGAGTACATGGTGGTATTTGTAGTGAATAAAGTGTCTGTAAGATAATAAATTATTTCCACAAAAGTATTCAATAAACAATTTTAGGTGTGACAGGAAACACACAGGGATGTTGCATACGTAGGCAAAGAGCAACACTGGGCCCTGGTTTGTCAGGCTTTGATTGAAAGATTCAGCTCAAATTATCCACATCCTTTGACTATGATTCTAAAATGGACATTTTACTACATGTTGTAAGTATCACAATGTTTACATATGGCCTAGGTAATACATTCACTTACCAGTGTTGCAAGGATATTCACTTGCATTTTCAGTGAGTTATTGGCTTTTGGGAATCACAAAATAATAATATTTAGGGCGCAGCAATTTGTGGCAGTGTGCTGTGACATCCCTCTCTACGTTTTGATCATTAGTGTGGTTACCCTATGATTTGGGTTGCTCCTAAATTCATACAAAATCACTGAAATATGATAATTGTTTTGATATAACAGTCAAAATAAATATTAATAACATACCTTTTTGTTTTTGTTACTTTCTGAACAGTTTTTTTGTTATTGAGTCACATGACACATCACATGATATGTAATGTTACCTCCAAAGTCAAAGATTACTATTAAGTCTAGCACATGATTTACCTTAGGAACGGTGGAAATTCGATCTAGGAGTTACTCTCAGAAGTTCACTTTGCACTATTTTTTTAATATTTTTTTTTAATTATCTAAATGACTACGTTATACGTAGTCATTTAAATAACACAAATCAGAGCCAAGTTAAACTCTGAGAGTAACTCTTTAGGTTCTACTACACTAAATCAGAACTGGTTGTGACAGTGCAGATCAAGAGACAGACTGTGATTGGATGATATTGTGTAAGATTTTTATGTCTTTTAAATGCACATCCATCCAGTAATTAAAACTGCCCATATTTTTCAATATTTGGTGCTGACTGTTTTAACAAGATGACTTGTGCTTTATGTGAGCACAGATATTTTCAAGTAGGTGATATTTGGTGCGGAACTGGGGTTGGTGTGTTCAGCTTCCTGTACTCAGAAAAGGAGCTGGCTAACCAGGCCAAGATTTGTGTTTTTATTGCACCTTTAAGGCCAGACTGTGCACACATGCAAATGTAATGGCTGATGAATGCCTAGTTATTTTTTAAAAAGATGTAACGTTACTATAGAAGTCTATGGGAAAACAGTTGGTTGTGTGTAACCTGTAGAGGGAATTTCCACTGTTTCTAAGGTAAATCCTGTGCCAGATATGGTTTTGTTGGTTGGTTGGTTTGTTTGTTGTTTTACGCCGCACTCAGCAATATTACAGCTATATGACGGCGGTCTGTAAATAATCGAGTCTGGACCAGACAATCCAGTGATTGATATCATGAGCATCGATCCACGCAATTGGAATATTGCTGAGTGCGGCGTTAAACAAACAAACAAACAAACAAACAAACATCTTCACGTGCAATGTATAACATGTCAAATTCCGAGATTAAAACATGTAGGTTAACCCAGATATTAGGACATACAAAACTGAAATGTGAAATCAATAAATAACCACACACGATCAATAAATCTTCACGGGTCGATATGGTTTTGTAGCTGAAGCTGAAAATATACCTTATTTCGATACAAAATTGTAAGCATGTCTTTATGAATCACTATAAACAGTAACGATACCAGGAGTTCGCGAAAAGGTGAGTGTAACCTGCCCCAATGGTGATACACGTCACAAACACATGCAATGTCAAGTCAATTTTTCACCTTAAACATGGGAAGATTTGGTACAAATAAAAATAGGGAAAAATCAGATATCATTTGTGTCACTGATACGTCAAAATTTGATATGTCATCCACATGCCTACCATAATCCTTTTGAAAGCTTTACTGGGGCATTGAATGTTGTAACCTTGATCAAACATTTTTTCTTTAAGAGTATGACGTTCTTTGAAATCTTGCATTGCACTCTCATACTTAGGTTCTGTGATTGAAACATAATTAATGTGATATCAAAACGCAATATTACGTCACCTCGGAAATTCGCTGGTCTGGCCCTGGCCCCTATGAATGCCCTGGGGTATTTACCTAAATCCTTAAGAGAACAGTGGAGCCGTAAAATAACAATAGATCAAAGGGGGGATTACGGAAAGGGGGTGATACCTCGTGATGACGTCAAAAAATGGCGGTCATAACCTACGTTTTGTGTTTGTCCCTATGGTGATAGCCTTTTTTGATGGGGTCGTGTGACGACATAGTATCGCGGGTGTAACGTCGCGTGATCATTCCTTATAGGGATCGGTGTTGTGTGACGTCATAGAATCGTGGGTGTAACATCGCGTGACCATTCCCTAAGGATGTGCGCGCCTGTGTGTGTGACGTCGTACAACGCATTCTACTCGTGACGTCACAACACGGTGATCATTAGCGTTTTTTCGTTCGTGTCGTCGTAGCATCGTGGAGTTATGTGTGTAAAATCGCGTGACCTTTCACTACGGGTGTGTGTGACGTCGTACAACGCATTCTACTCGTGCCGTCACGACACGGCGATCATAACCGTGGTTTCTAGTGTTTGAGACAAGCGCGTACGGTCAAAAGGACATAACTGTATATACCGGAAGCGGTTACGAACGTAAACACTGACAGTGAGTGGGGGTAATTCTAATGTTTGGTGAGTATCGGTAAGCGATCGACTGTTTTAATCACGTTGCTAGTATATCTGGATAGGTTGTGAGCGTGTAACGGAGCTCGGGGAGGGCAGTTTGAGTCTAGATCTCGAATAAACGAGTTGTGGTGTTACGATATTTCGGCATTCCGATGGTGGTCGTATGTTGTGTGTGTCTCGTCAACCGCAGGAAGCATTATTTTTAATGTGTGGCATCGCAAAATGACCGACAGATGCGGACAACGGTTTGTGTGTGTGTGGTCCGATCATGTCTGCCATATTGTAACGTCGCTGTACGTCGTATTTCAGCGAATCAATGAATAAACTAGCGAGTGTTGTATTCTCGAGGCAAACGTTATAGCATTACAAATTTTGAAGGAGGTCTGTAAATGTCGTGCTGTCAATGTAAAGCTCTCTACAATACTACACCGCAAGACAAATGTATCTAGACACACAAAAACAACCCCGCAGGTCGTCCTGACCGTGTAAAGCTCTCTACAATACTACACCGCAAGACAAATGTATCTAGACACACAAAAACAACCCCGCAGGTCGTACTGACCGTGTAAAGCTCTCTACAATACTACACCGCAAGACAAATGTATCTAGACACACAAAAACAACCCCGCAGGTCGTCCTGACCGTGTAAAGCTCTCTACAATACTACACCGCAAGACAAATGTATCTAGACACACAAAAACAACCCCGCAGGTCGTACTGACCGTGTAAAGCTCTCTACAATACTACACCGCAAGACAAATGTATCTAGACACACAAAAACAACCCCGCAGGTCGTCCTGACCGTGTAAAGCTCTCTACAATACTACACCGCAAGACAAATGTATCTAGACACACAAAAACAACCCCGCAGGTCGTCCTGACCGTGTAAAGCTCTCTACAATACTACACCGCAAGACAAATGTATCTAGACACACAAAAACAACCCCGCAGGTCGTCCTGACCGTGTAAAGCTCTCTACAATACTACACCGCAAGACAAATGTATCTAG